TAAGTCATGTTAAGTCAATGCAAAGGCGCGATTAGACGCTCACACATCTCTCTCTTTAGGTTGTCCTCAGACGAGCCTTCCATTGTCGCTTCCAGTCATCCCAATTCTCCATTCGCCAGTTCGTTGGTACTCTGAGCTGCTGCATCCTTCTTGAGTATGTCCATGTATGTTAGTGTAGGACGTCCTCTCGACCGATGCCCATGTGTTGGTTCCCACAGCACCAATTTGCTGGCTGGCAGTTCCCGATGCCTTTGGCAGTGTCCTGCTCGTCTCATTCTCCTTACAGCAATCTTCTCGCTCACCTGTGATATTCCCTCGTACAGTGTTCTGTTGGTTACATGTGCGTTCTTGCTGATGTTAAGCACTGCACGCAACATCCTGGTTTAGCACCCATCTAGGGATTTCTCCAGGGTCCAGAACAGACTCTACTGTCACGTAGAAGAAGCTGAGTTTGATTTGGCTGAGGAGATTGGAGTTCCATACACTGGTCATGCCGTTCAGGGCTCTCCATGCAAGTGCCTTCCTCACTGTTAGACTCTGGCAGTGCGAATGACGCGAATTAGGCGGTGCAAATTCACCTCTTCGGGAGAAGGGAATATATTTCAACTTGAGCAGATATTCACCTTGCGATAACCAATCAGCACGAAGATTTCCAGGTGATGCATGACAGCGGATCTGGAGATGCTGCTACCATGCTTGATGGAGACTCTCCCTCTCTCCCGTATCCATGGCTAGCAGTCTGGAGGAAGGTGAGTGAGGAGTCGGACTATCTGGTAAATTGTGAAAAACCGTTGTCTATCAGTTGATCCCGCAGGTTGAATTGGCAAAGATCACTGTTGAAATGAGCATAAACAACTATCCATGTTTTTAAGCCCTCTGTTGACGTGCAGATGTACTTAAATGATTGTTGGGAATAAAGCAAGTTATTAGCGCAAATGAGACGAGTAAATACTATTTCTTTACGCGTCTAGATTTGCGCAAATTAAGGGAGTAGATGACTTTACTCACGGTTGGTGTGAACGCCCATTAGACACTCGTCAGTTTATTCCACATCCGGTGAACTAACCCCTGACTCCTGAGGTCATAGGTGGAAGTGACTCAAATGGACGGTGACATCCAGACGTCACTCTGAGAGAGTTAAGCTCAGACTCATGATACTCTCTGTGTGTGTGTGTGTGTGTGTGTGTGTGTGTGTGTGTGTGTGTGTGTGTGTGTGTGTGTGTGTCTTCGCAGTGTTTCCTGCTGCGTTCGCTGTAACCGGATCAGTTCGGAGCCCAGCTGATGACATGACGGAGGTTCTGGAGCCGGAGGAGGAGAAACTGTCGGAGTGTGTAAACTCTGAGGTTTACTGGAACAACAGGCTTCAGTCTGCTGGGAGCCCTGAGCTGCTCAGGAGTTTGACCACAGGGAGAATTTAATGATACTGTCCAGGAGGAGGAGGAGGAGGAGAGAAGAGGAAGATGTGATTTGAGAGGAGGAAGGAGAAAAGTGAATTGGAGTATGACTAAGAATCTCTGTTTGCTGTTTTAGATTTGAAAGTATCAAGCGTGTAAATGAAGCCTCAAGTTTGTCATTAACCTGCCACCATGTTGCCTCTGGAGTAAAACACGACCATATTTGGAGAAGAGGGCGGAGCCAGAGAGAAAGTAGAAGGACCATATTCCCAAGGCTGATTTGTTCTGTAGGTATTTCTACGGTCAGGTATCAGGATGAATGCAGGACTTTGACTCGTTCAGACTCTGATAGGAAACTGATCCCCTTACAGGAGCTTTGAATTGTACAACCTACATTTCTATAAACCAGATTATGATTCCCAAACAAATCCAGCTCAGAGCTCAGACTGGGTTTGAGTTGGTGTGTTTGGTGAACTGTGGCTGCATTCAAACAGGACCTGTAAACATTTCTGTGTTTCTGTGGGAGAGTTTCTGAGTCGGTCCTTCGCTGCAGCTGGTTTTTATTAGTGCAGGTGGAAGATTTTTGATTCCTACATTTGCAGCGACACTCCACAGTGAGCCAACAAAATGTCACAGCAGTTTGAGACAAAGACATGAAATATACAGTGTGGTAAATTTGGTGAAAGTTTAGAGAATTTCAATCAAAAGTTTTATAATATAAGGATATAACTTTAGATTCTTGCAACATGACAGACATTCAATAAGAATTTAACCAGAGTATTACTTTTTAACAAGAAAAGGTGATCATACATTTGCAGACAGAAACACTCAGTTACTGGGAAGAGAAGTGGGGAGCAGTGCAGTTCAATATTACTCACCATTGCTGCTATTTTACCCCCAGTTTTTATTGTTTTTATTCTTTTCTGTATATTAAATTAAACACCATCATGCTGTGATATGGAAGCTAAGCAACAACATTCACTGCTGTGTTTTATTCTGTGCAATGACAAATAAAGAAAATCTAAGTCTAGCTTATTTAATTAACAACTGCTTTTTGCTTCCTTATTGATGCACATCTCCACATAAATTAATTCATCTCTTAGTTTCTTTTTTTTAAATTACAATCAAACTCTGTCTTATAATTTTAGACTTTATTTACTGTATGAATTTATTCTTAATACTAAGAATAAATTTATTCTAAATACTGATTTCATCACAACTTTATTCTCGTGAGTTAACGACTTTAATCTCAGTCTTTTTTCTTAATGTGGCCCTAACTCTCCGTCTTAAGAATTAGATTCAAATTAAATACAAAATATTTATTTTTGTCTACATAAAAGTTCCTAAAAATCCTTTATAGTATTTATGATATTGTGTTGCTGTGATAAATTAGCTTTCAACTTACTTTACCTGAGCTTTAAGCTTATTTTTCACTCCATTAAAACATGATTTTTATTTTTATAAAAACCAGAATGAACTCACATGTTTTATTTTAGCTGGATGTCACTCGTCCTGAGTGTAAGTGCACATGTACATCATAACAGTCTGGCACAGTAAGACCTGAACAGTGTTGCATCCTGATAACAGAACTGACTGTTCAGACCTTCATTGCATCAGAAATCTAGAGAATAGAGAACCTGCTGATTTTCTGCAAACAGCCACACAGGAATTGAAAATACAGAATGGAAGAACTCTGAGCCCAGCTGCTTTTGCTCTCGACAGACCTCCCTTATTTTCATGTCATGCTTTTATTTTGAAATTGTGTCCAGGACAGAAATTTGGTGAAGGAGGTCACCTGGAGAACTTTTTTTTTTTTTTTAATCCCTCTGGCTGCAGGTAAAATGTGTTAACTTTCAGATTTCATCAGGTTAAAGGAAATATCTCCTCCTTCTTTTGCATCCATCTCTGCTCCCCGTCAACCGACGACTGTGTTTTTATGATCCCTGTTTTAAAACATGATCGTCTCCTGATAAGACCAACACTAAAGGTTCTCCCTGATATGAATAAAAACTCAGAAGTCATTAAGGTCCTTTATTTTACTGATTAAATGTTTGAAGAAGAAGAAGAACCAGAACCGTCTCCTCCCTCCTCTTTAGGGTCAGACAGGTGCGTTAAACTGACCGCTTAGTTTGGTACCTGATCCAACTTCTGACAGCGGAAATGCAAATAACTGAACCAAACCTGACCGGACTGGACCCAGCTTTAAACACACACACACGTTTTTGTGAATGCACACACACACATTATTGTCAACTGTACATGTATTTACCTAATGCATAGGTTAGTACGTGCCAACACACACGCTCTCCTGTACATGTCATTATCAACACCTGCTTGTACGTGCAGCGACACTCATACTTACCCTGAACGCACACAAACACACACATACAGACACACACACACATGTGGGCGTCTGAGGAAGACGTCCAGAGAGAGAGAGAGAGACAGCGATCCCACACTCAGCTCCAACTCAAACACGTCCTCTGGTTTCAGTGGAGACTCTGAACAGAAACCGGCTCGACTATTTTTACTGAGGAACTATTTTTAGCTTCTTCAGGACTTTTTCAGGAGGCAGCGGCCGTCTGGCCACACAGCGGCTGTGAGAGTCCGGCTCTGAGTCAATACAGAGAACAATACGCTCGGCGTCCACTCAGCCGGACAGACCGGTCTGCGGCTCCACGCCACCGGCTGATGACAGGCCGCTGTGGTGCAGATTATTGGAATTCTGGGAGATTACCAGACAGAGGGGGGTCGTTTTAAACTCCTTCAGTGCTGGAAATGACAGGCTGTCAGAGGACTGAAGACTCAACCAGAGGCCTCCAGGGGCCCGACTGGGAGCCGGCAGGGCCACACAAGGCTGCCTCAGTGGCTTGGAAAGAGTTTGAATTCACGGCGTCGCCAGGAGATCAGGGGAAATTTACACACTTGGGGCGCCACTGGCCTCGAAGTCCAAGTGTTTCCTGTTTGTGTGGGTTCGATTCCAGCCTGTGAAGGCCCTCTCCTGCATGTCGCTCTCCTCTCTCTCTCCCTGATACTCACTCCATCCTTTCTCTCCCTCGCTGAGCAAAGACCGACGTGCCAATAAATCATTAAAACACACACACACACACACACACACACACACACACACACAACACGCCTCCTCTCCTGTTGTTATGGACCCCCACAATCCAGGTCTAGAAGAATATAAAGTCAAACCTACAAAAACTGAATACTTTTGCTCAAGTTGTCTGTGATCCGTCTTAAAGTGTAAGAGCAGGTTTGGGATCTCTCATAAAAACCTCCTAAATGCGTTCAGTGATGAGGACTCAGACTCTCAGGGATCCAGATCAGAACCTCATAGTTTGATTTTTCACCCATTATTGAAAAGTTTGATTAAAAATGTTTTACATTCCAGTTTTTTAATCTGCTTGGTGTACACAGTATGTATCCAGATTTTATTTAATTTTTCAGTTATTCATTTGCCTCAGGAAAGGAAATAGTTCTTTTATTTTGCACCTTTATGCCTTAATGAGGGCTCAAAATCACACTTAACTGAAAAAGTTAAAAAAAGTTGAAAAACTGAGAGGATAAATGACACGAATGAGAGGTTTGACAAAGTTCACTTTAATGGATGGGACAGCTCGCGCCTCTGTTAACCGTCTGATTGAGATCTGCCTCACCTGTGTCCTCAGCAGGAGCTCGATGCCTAGAGAGCACCAGGTGTGCTGCTCCTGTGGTCACTGAAAGAGAGGGAGAACGAACCAATCACAAAGCAGTATTCACACAAACCATGACATAAGAAAACTTCATAAAACTGAAGAAAATAGGGAGCTAATAAATTATGCAACAAAAATCAACTCCAACTACAGTCAAAAATCACTTTATTGATGCTGCTTGTTATATAAAGAGTAGTTTTAGATAGATAGATAGATAGATAGATAGATAGATAGATAGATAGATAGATAGATAGATAGATAGATAGATAGATAGATAGATAGATAGATAGATAGATAGATAGATAGATAGACTTTATTGATCGTGTTTTAAAGCTCCACTGCAACCAAAGATAGGACATCAAATCTGGTTTACTCCACCACTAAAAATAACAGTGCCCACAAATTCCCTCTTTAGTGAGCAGGAGTTTTTAGGACATGTAAAAGCCTGAAATCATGTCTGTATAAATGTTTTAAGTCCCCACAGTGTTAGCGTGAAAAACTGGCTTCTTATCTATCAGCTTCACAAAGAACAGCCTCAGAGAGTTTGTCAGGGGACAAAAACAATGACGCTGGAAAAACTCCAGAAACTGAGGACTGAGCATCATGAGACAGTTCGAGCAGAACCTCTTCATCATGACGTCAGAGACGGGAATCATCTGAGACGAGGAGTCAGTTATTTTAACAAAACTAAGAGAAATCGACGGGCTGCTTTTGTTTAATTTAACACCAGGAGTCAGTCAGGGATCTTTATGATTGAAGTTTTTCTGTGAGTTTTCCTCCACACTTCCACTCACAGCCCTCAGAGTGACGAGGTTCAAGTGGGCAGCAACTTATTCTCTTACAGGACGAGATTATATAACCAGCTTCCAACAAAGGATTTTGGGAACTGAAGTCTCAAAAGAACCAAAAAATATGTAAACGTAGATCAGGGTAAAATCAAAATAGCAATATTACACTTCACATTGAGTTTCAGCAGGTATGAAAAAGTCTTTCCAGAGACTTAAGATGGAAAATGATTCACTCCTCTGTGAGAGACTGTGTGAGGAAATAGTTTTAGTTTCCACAATAATGTAAAATTACAAATAAATTGATTATTCGATCATCTACAGTGTGTCATGTTGGTTAGTTTCCCTTTTATTTTTCTGCACATTAATATTTTGTTTCATGTATTTCCTGTTTTATTTTGTAGTTCTCTAACTCTTGTTTCTATCTTCTAAATTTGTCCCTGTCTCGTCACACCTGCTGCCTGATTGTGTCTCCTCACCTGTTTCCCATCACCCTCGTTACCTCTTGTATTTTACCTTGTGTGTCTCACTAGCCACGTTTACATGCAGACTTTTTTCTCATTCGGCTTATAATCATTCCGATTGAAGCTCCCAGGCGAACTGTTTACATGGCAGCGATCTATTCTGATCTGGTGTTTACATGTGCCACGGCATTCAATCGGAACAGCTATTTACAGACACGTGATACCTTCAAACATCACGTGATTGATTGATCACGTGATCTCCGACGCAGACCAGTGCATCGTGCTCTGCTTGGAAGCCGCCATCATGTTTCCATGTGAGTCATACGTCACTGCTTGTTTACATCAGGACAGAGATGCGCAGACAGAACCCAGCCTGACAACTTTCCGATTCACCGTTTACATGACAGGATTTTGCTTTTAATCGGAATGGGAAAAGGAATATTCTACCCCTGTGAATCGGAATGAAATTCCATTCGGAATGGGCCTGTTTATTCCGAATGAGGTGTTTATATGGAGCATTTTCATTCCGATTGGGCTTCTAATCCGATTATATTCGGAATATTTGGCTCCATGTAAACGTAGCTACTGTCTTCTTGCAGTTTGTTTCACTTCTTGTCTCATTCCAGCATTTATTCATAGTTATTATCAAGCCGTGTATTTCCTCTCGTTTTTGATCCATCTGCCTGACCTGACTGCCTTTCTGTGTCCCGACCTTTGCCTGAACTTCATTAAACCCTGTCTGATGGCCTAACTGGTTCAGTGTGATGTTGTTGTGTCCTCCAGATTCAGTCCTCAGAATATGGAGAAATCTGATGGCACCACATTAACAACAGACATGATCACTGCATCACTGTTAAAATTGCAGCTAAAATCCTTCTTGTGTGTGAACGCAGGTTAAACCAGATATAAACATCATCATATACATGAATAAACATACATGCTCTAGTAAAACCATGGTTAATTGACTATAAGTGAAGTCGTTTTCACAGCTTTTTTTATTATGATGTATGTGTGGAGTTGTTGGCCGAGTGCAGTGAGTGTTTTTGTGTTTATCACGTTAACGATGTGGAGAAAGGAGGCTTACAGAAGATACGGGCTCTGCAGGGGATCTGACACTGATAAGATTCCTGAGGTTGGATGAACTTCACTGCAGCCGCCTGAAGGGAAACTGACAGTAGAGGAATGTTTGTCTCAAACACACAGAGAGCTCGTCTGTCCCGCTGACACTCTCCAGACTCTGAGTTATGGATGGGAACTGCTGCAGTTCAGCCTCAGGCCTCACAAACTTCATACACTTTCTGTATCATGGAGGAAAAACCGAGTCATAGAAGATCAGAAGAAGAAAACATGACAAAGCTTCTACATTAGTGGAGGATATTGATCCCAGTGTGGACATCTACCCCCATCAACCTCTAAACAAACCCTGCATTCAGTCTTGGAGTGTGACTGACTCAGATTAAAGGGTAAAGAGGGTTAAAAAGTCATGATTTCTGCCGTGACTTATCACTAATTTGGTTTCCAATCAATCACAGATTGCCTAAAGGTTTTAAAGAGGTACTACCAGGACTGGAAAAGCCCCCACGGTGAAGTCTTTCCCTTCATTTATGAGTAAGAATAACAGGACACTGAGTTTCTGACGTGGAAATCCACCCTCAAGTGGGTGAAATAACACTGCAGATTGTAAAACGTGTTTTTAGATGAGCTTAAAGTCACACTGTGCAGAAATATGGCGATGAAAGAGAGTTTTGGGAGGAGCCTGGGCCACTCAGATAAAGAATCATGAGCATCTCCACCCACTTTGGTGAAGACCCGACTCTTGCCAAAGCATGAATTTGTCAAGGAAACTTTGATAAATCAGATGCAGATTGTCCTCAACTTGCTTCTCTCTTATTTCTGTAATTCTGTTCATGTGAAAAATCCTCGGAGCTCCAATCTTTGTTCTGTGATCCGTTCACATCATTCATTTAACTTCCTGTTTACAGAGTGTCTTAAAATGCTGCAGGAGGGAACGTTGAGTATGTCCACACTAAACTCTGCGTTGAAACGAGTTAAGTTGTAACTTAAGACATACCTTTTGTTTGTTTGTTTACACTTACCGTCACCAATCAGAGGAGAAAAACACTCTCCTGTTTGTTAGTGGGTTAGATTTTCAGTCGCCATGTTTACATGTTTGCAAAATTTCTTGATCCGATTAAAAATTTGAGGGATCAGAAAATCTGAATCCACTGTTCAGTGTTAATAATGAAACGAGTGAAGATCGAGTCAGACGAGAGAGTCACGATCAGAATAAATGTTTACATGAAAGCGTTTTGGAATAACGATCGGCATAAACCACTTCTCTTGATCGGAATACGATTTCTTTCTGATTGAGCCGAATTGGATCAGAATCTTCTGATTGACATGTTTACATGACGCATTTTTATCCTGATCAGACCTTTATTCCGATTATTTGTGCCCGTGTAAACACAGCTACTGACGGTGAAGCTTTCTCGACAAGTCAGTTTAGAAATAAATCATGCACCGTGTTTATACGACGTTAAGTTATGCACACTGATGAAACTCATATCCATCATTACCTGTCAGATAATTAATCTGATTTTGTTATGAGTTCATTACTGACTCTGGAAACTCGGTCACAGCCTGTAAAGTTTGGATGTTTCTGTATCGTTCATTGACTTCTGCTCCATCCATCAGTGTTTTAACCTCCTCCACTCTCTGACCACAGACCCTCACTTTAGCGGCTCCATTATTCCAAACTCTGGCATTGTTCAAAACCACAAAGCTTTATTCAAACCCTCCTCGATATTCTCAGCCCTCAGACTGAAATATGTTTAAAAATGAAGCAGCTGACATGCAGAATATTTACATGATGGAGCGGAGGAGCCAGAGAAGTAAATTTGGGGTTGTGGTGAACTTTGAAGAGCTCTAAAGAAGAGAGAGAGCTTCATATACGGTCCTGAAAAGAGCGAAAAAAGACCAACAAACTGGCAGGGAGTCAGATAATGAGCGTGTGTGTGTGTGTGTGTGTGTGTGTGTGTGTGTGTGTGTCAGTGTTTGTCACGTGGCTCTCAGTGACTCTCCATGTCAGGAATGTAAACTCGGCGCATAAGGTGTGTTTAGTCCCCCCATCCCTTAGCCCCGCCCACCTCAAATACAGCCAGGTAATACTTAGAGGATGACACACACACACACACATACTCACACATAAACACAAACACACACGCTGAGAGCATGGTGTGTATTTCATTCTGTCATTCAGAGTTATGTGAGGAATGTGTGTGTTGGTATGTTTTTGGAGTGTGGTGTGTTAACACACCGATCGACCAACTCCCCTCATTATCTGTCTGGGAGCGATCCAGACTAATCCAGGCTGATACGTCCTGATACCTTCATCCATCTGAAGATCTACCCCCCGAAAAACATCCTCCACCTCCTCAGAGGAGAGGTGAAGTCCTCTTCTTTACAAACATCACAACGAGGGTTAAAGCAGGAATAACAGAGCAGGATGTTCTCAGGTGATGCTTTTCCACCTGAGGGGCTGGTTCTGGTTCCATAAACCCTGATCCTGCTTCTGTTTCTGCAGCAGACTGTGATCTGTGCAGGAAGCATGTTAATGGTCTGATGGCCTCAGAAGGACAGACAGACAGGCCTGTAGATCCTCGAAAAAAGGTGATCAACATGTAAAACATAACCGACCATAGTCAGACTTGAAAAATGCTTTTCAAAACAAAAGCAGATCTTTGATTTCTTCTTTAATGCTCTTACTTTGAAGTTATTTTAATGCGATGGTCTTTATTCGAGCCTTTTCTGAACTCTTGCTGGAAAAAAAGTAGTTATTGATCAGACTGGCTGCAGGTCAGCTGTGTTAATTATTGAATATCATAAGGCTGCAGGAAATGTTTGATCTTGTGTGATCTCCTTCTGTCTCTGTGCCGCTCAGCTGAAATAAGCTCCTGAATCCTGATGTTTCAAGACAGCTGCACCTCTTCAACGTATGGCGTTAACACAAGATTCAGCTCATTGATAAAGATACCTGATGAGTCTAAAAGGGTATAAATAAAGAAATAAATCTGCAGACGTGTTTAATCTGGATTTTTGTTCCTTAACCATCTTCAAACGCTGAGGACCGTTTTTCTGGAAGTCTCTCTCTCTCTCTCTCTCTCTCTCTCTCTCTCTCTCTCTCTCTCTCTCTCTCTCTCTCTCTCTCTCTCTCTCTGTGTTGACAGTACCATGTGCTGCTATTGTGTTATTATCTATTGTTGTAAACACACAGTGTGTTGAAAGGTGAGTCTGTCATCTCAGGCAGATCCAGTCCTGTCACGCTTTGGAGAGAAGTGGGTGTGTGATGAATGAAGCTGAAGTGTGTGTGTGTGTGTGTGTGTGTGTGTGTGTGTGTGTGTGTATTACAGTGACACTGGAGGTAGAGGTATCTGTGGCAACGAGCCAGAAACAAACACAGGACTGTGTTTTTCTCTCCACGCTGACATCAAACACTCAGACAGGGTTTCTCTGAACGCAGGAACGTTTCTTTGTTTTCTGCGTTCTGCGTGTTTTCAGCGTCTCGTCTTTGAGAGAAAAATCAGGACCTGATGCACAAACAACAGACAGCAGCCGGAATCGCACCAACAACTCTGCATCACTCACACAGTTCTGCAGCTCTGTGTCTGCAGCAGTTTGCTCAGGTGTTGTGTTGAGAATCAGATTCAGAATCAGCATCGACCCTGATCTGCTGCACTTTGAGTTTATTTTTCTACAAAAGCATCAAATATTTCACTGAAAATATGTCACTGAAGTCGCTGCTCAGACATTATTGCACCACTATTGTTTGTGGATGTTTTATCACCTGCCTCACAGAGAGGACAGTCTGGATCTGCTTCTTCAGTTTTGAGTTTTTGCGCGTCTGTCTAAATTTGCGTATCTGTTTTACAGCACTGTCACAGTATTTCTGATCGATTATCTTTGCTGTCCATCCTTTGCAGTTTTCCTGCTTGTTCTCAGTCCTGTAGAAAACTCTCAGTTGAGTCCCGTCCAGCTCGGGCCGGGGAGCTTGCTGTTGGCTCTCTGCGTTTTGAAAAATAATCCCCAAATTCAATCACATGGCTCCTCTGGACTCTGCAAAAATAAATAATCAGAAAAATGTATTCATTGTTCCGTTTTTACAAAGATTGTGTGAAAAATGTGCCTCCTGATGAACCCTGATATTGGAGTACCCACAAAATCTCTTCACAGCGCTGTGGGTTTGAGAGGTCGCAGCCCCCGCTGGTGGTCGGTCAACAAATGGCTCCAGCGCTAACTACTGCTCAAACCACAATAGTCAGGTTTCACTCCAAATGAAAATCATTGAAATAAAACGTTCATTTCTGCTGCTCTTAAACGAAAGTCTGTCGGGTTAGCAGCAGATGGACTGAAAAATAATCAGGAGGAGACAACATGAAGGTTTCAAAATAAGAGTAAGAGACTAAAGTTTTAGAGTTTTCGCCTTTTTTTTTTTTTAAGAATATTAGCAGCAGGAGGATTGAGATGAGTGTTTTTAAATGTAAGCTTCTGTACAAACACATGACAGCTCAGTAAATCTGGTTGCGTTCACACCAGCCTTCTTTAGTCCTAGAGTGTTTTACTTCTGGTGTGAACCCCACCCCCACCAATCACAGGAGGCGCGGCTCGAAAAAACATGGAGGTAGGCTCTCATTATTGCTCGTCGTCATCTGTGATTTGACCGTCCGATTGGAGAGCGTCTCCTGGGATGTGTGCGTATTAATACATTATTTAATTGCCGCAGTCTTCCCAGCCATCCATATGTGCAGTCGGTTAAATTTTTGTGATATTCAGTCCAGATCAGCGCCAACATAAAAATGAAAAGGCAATGCTCCATGATGTACAGAAAAAATGCGAGGGATTTGTCGTCTACTTGCCAAAACTGTATGAGCAATCACCAAATGACTCCTGCTGCCAGGTGACAACTTTTCGACCGTTTGAGTTCGGCCTTCGTGAATACGGACCGAACCAGATGAGAAATTGCATCAATGTACCATCCTCGCTTTGGTTCTTATCAGAAAACAAATCTTCTGGCGTGAACACGACCTTTAGACTCAGGAGTGGATGATCAAGACTTGTGCTTTTATTTTGAAATTATGTTTCTTTTGGTAGAGCAGTGATACCTTCATCCAGTATTGTTGCTGAGCTGTAAAATACTCTCAGCTCACTACATTTGCACCAAGAACTTCTCCAAAAACCAGTCTGCAGTCCTGGTTTTTGGTCCTTTTGATAGCCACGTCTTAATTTCAAGAAAAGCTAAAGGAAGTCCGTTTGTGAGCTCTGTTGCTTTTGTTATAATTTTTAAGGCGTTGAAAGAATTTGCATGTATTTCTTTAGGTTTTATATCATTTCTTATGCGAAAAAAAATGAACCACAAGGAAACGTTGAAGGATGTTAAACTCCTTTATGGTTTATGTGTACAGGTACAAAGTTATCTGCGTGCATCTCCTCTATATTTCTGCACTTTCTCTGCAAACATGCTGTCAGGTCCAAATGTTGTAGTACCACCTAAAATCTATGGGGGCAGTAAAGCTTCCAGTGCAACACATGCATAACTGAGGCACCGTTTAACCTCACAGGTCTATTTTCGTACATAAATAAGCCTTTTAACTAATTGAACACACCTTTTGTGGACAGTGAGAAGCAGTTTAGGTTTGCAGATGTACAGTTATAGTGCAGAGCATTATTCAGGAGACTTCTGTGCAGATTAAAACGCATAAAGTGTCTGTTTTCTTACTTTAATCATAATGCCGTGCACTAAAGGTCGCAGTCAAAAAAAGTCAGTTATGTAATGTGGTTTTGCTGCTAACAATGAAGCTAAAAGTGGTGCTCGTCTGTTGTCTGCTGTTAACTCGTCTCATAAAATCATATTTCTCTCTGCTCTTTTGTTGTTTTGTGTTTATTTATGTCTGACTCAAAAACGGGGATGAAAACAGAGAAAATGATCGTTCTCGGGTCACATCTGTGTCTCTTCGGCTGCAGACTCAACTGTTGTTCTTCTTCTGCACTTTGAGGCGCAAAGCGTTTACTTCCTGGGGTTTGTTTGGGTAGAAGAAAAAAGGAAGTGTGGGGTTATTGTGAGTCATGTGAGCGTGCAGCATCTCCATCGGGTTGTGTTTACGTCTGAGCCCTGATCTCCTTCACTTCATCTCCTTTTTAATATTGGTTCTCACAGGTGACGTCTCACCTGCGTGCGGTCTGCAGATTCTCCGTCATGTTTGTCGGACATCTGGTCTCATGCAGAAAGGGGAGAAAGTTTGCATTTCAGAGATATTTTCTCAGACTGCAGCGTCCTCTGAGAGCCACGCTGATCCCATTTGATGAATGGAGTTAAAAGCTGCTTGTTGTTGCGTTGCCTAGCGACCGGCGTTCGGCTGTCTGACAGTCTGACAAAGGAATCAGGAGGAATCAGTCATAATGTGGATAAGCCTAAACACACTGCGGGGGTATTTATGTGTGTAATGACGAGGTAATCACACTTAACTTTATTCCTCCACACCCAGCCAATCCAGACCGAGGGCGGTGCCTTAATCCACCAATTATTCACCTGTCTCCAATTAGAACGTCTGCACGCTCTCTCACACACACACACTCGGACACACACATCATGTCCAGATCTTATCCCTCTCTTTCGGGGACAGCAGGGTGTTAAGTCGCTGATCTTTTCATGGATCTTGGCTGTGAATCATTTCAGTCTGGGGTCACATTTCTTCACCGAAACTGAAACTGTGCAGACAGCTGTGGTCACCTCACACCTGTACACATGTTTTTATCATGATGACTGCAGTGAAATGAAGTCAGAAGGAGGGTGAAGTTTCTTCCCAGAGTCCAGTTTAGGGGGCAGGTTTAGATCCAGCTCAGCATTGAGGGACTCAGACCATCTGATTTGCATGATGTATCTTGTCAGCTAACAAGCTCAGCCCAGGCAGAAGCTGGTGTTAAGACTGCAGAGCCTGGGATTGAGACAAAAAAGACAAGAAGACTGAAATTAATCCTTTCTAATCCAATCGAACCTGATGCAACAGATTTTAAGGAGCAGGAGATTTCATTTGTGTTGCAAAACCTCTGTCACTTTGTTGATAACGACTGAACGAACTCTGGGACGAGTGTTGGTACCCTGAACGTTAAAAAAGAAGCCGATGCTGAAGCACCAGTTTGGCCCCCAGTTTTCAGATCCATCCACCATCCTTTCTCCTCTGGATGAACCTCCAAAATAAAACCTGCAGTTCCTCCAGGGTCAGGGTTAGCTTCACAAGACCGTCGTGCCTCCATCTGCTGAGAAGCTTCATGGAGATGCTGATTTGGCACCTGCCCACTGCGCCAAATTCTCAACCGAATCATTTGGTGACCGCTGTGTTTGACTGGCCTGAGCTAAACCCTGCATAGAGTCTGAGGGATCTTTGTCAAGAGAAACATACGGACCAGCTGAATGTAAATGTTAATGTTCTTTATTTATCCAGCCCTTACAACAACCCTTTTAGTGAACTAAAGTGCTTTACAATACATAGTTAAAATGAATAAATAAAAGCAATAAAAAAGAATAAGATATAATGCAATAAAATAAAGTGTCACCACGCAACTGGGTATTAGAAGGCATCATAAATACATACGTTTTTAATTGAGATTTAAAAAGGCCCAGGTCTGAAAAAGGTCTCATTTCAATGGGGAGTTTATTCCAGAGTTTGGGACCAGCGACTGAAAAGTCTCGTTCACACTAGTGTTTGTGTTTTGACCCTCCAGCAGAAGTTGGTTTGACGACCTTCGAGCTCTACTCGGCTCCCGAACGGTTAAAATCTCGGTTAAATAGATGGAGGTGAGGCCGTTAAGAGCTTTAAAAACAAACATTAAAAGTTTAAAATCAATCCTAAAAGAGACGGGAAGCTGAGGAGAGGAGTGGTGTTCTCACGTCTGTTAGTGTTGGTTAAAAGACGGGCAGCAGCAGCATTTTGGACAAGTTGAAGGTGAGTAAGAGATGATTGGGAGATGCCAACATGAAGCGCATTACAATAGTCTAACACCTCAGCAGAGGAGCTGCAGGATAATCTCTGTATCATGGGGAAGGAGGAACTGAGGGTGCAGGTCAGAGGTCGAACATTTCTATAGTTTAAATCCTTTAGAGTAACTTCAGGAAATATTGTGATCATACGAGAAACATATTTTAATGTCATCATCATGAATCAGCCGTCCTCTAATTTTTACTTACTGCACCTTTAAGTTGTTTTTATGCCAAATGAATCAATCATTTTTCTAATTAAATCAAGTATTAAAAGACCTGGTCTCCGATTCATGACAGTCGATTTTTAACCCATGATGTGCCGGTAACACGTGACGCGGTGCTGAAAGGATCGGGTCGGTATCAGAGAGGTTTGGCGAAGGCTCTTACTCGTTCTGGGAGAATTGAAGGTAAACTTCTCCTTTAGTGGAATTACACATGATTCAGTGTTAAATTCATTTGTATAAACCTGAAGTCATGACTGACCCTTTTTCACTCGTACCGTGAACATTTATCAGCGGGAGAAATCTGCGTAATAACTCCTCGTTTCTGATCTGGAGACAGAGCTCATCCATCTCAGAGGCGGAGGAGGAAAATGTTCTCCCATCCATCAGAGCGGACAGGACCGGACTGGAACAACATGCCTCTTCCCCTCCGGGGGCGCGGAGCTGGTCGGTGCTGATGAGGCCCCCAGGGGCCCGCAGGGGCCTCGTAGCCATGCTTGCCAGGCTTTATGTTGTGGACCACCGGCCGAGCCCTGTGGCGCTGTGTTTTCACTAAACATTCCCAGCGGCTCCACAGTGGGGGTGTGGAGGTGGTGTCGGGGGTGAGGGGGGGTGGACGCGGAGAAATATCAGAAATTCTGCGGTTAGTTTCGGGCCGGGTGACCAGAGCCGAGCCCCAAACATCTTGTAAGAATAACAGAGGAGCGGAGCGAGGGCCTGGGCGGACGCCATGTTTGTGTGTTGGTACATTCCTGGTGTGTGTTTTATTTTTCCTGCTCTGTCCCCTCGCTCTCCGTCTTCCCGGGGGGTTGGCCGGGTGGGGTGGGCACGGATAGCTGTGGTTTGGTTGGCGGTGTGAGGATGGGGGTGTTTTTTGGATGGCGTTGCAGTTTTAAGGGCATGCAGAGGAATCCCAGCGGGCGGCTATCGGATTCAGCATCCAGCGCTCGGACTCAGCGAGTGTGATGACTGTGAGGACAACTCTTGTTTTGTTTTCTAATTCGGTCCTCCCCCTTCCTCCTCTTCCTCCCCTTCTCCTCCTCCTCTTCACTTTTGTTTTTCTAAAGAAGCCTCCTTGCCAAGAGCTGAAACAATAGCAAAGTTCTCCAAAGCCTCCCTGGCTTTAAACAATGCCATCAATCACGGAGAACAGCCGACACACACAAACACACTCACATGCATAAAGCGCACGTTGTCCTTTAACTCTTGGTGTGTACACACGGACAAGACTCTGCGGGGACGAGAGCCGAGCGAGTGTTAAAAGACTAATGAGCGCGGAAGGTTTGGGACCGAGAGAAAACACCGGAAAAAAAAAAGGAGCCTGTAAGTCAGAACTCAGGGAGCGTTATCCAACACTGTCAGCATCAATCCCTCTTTGGACTTCACCCAAAAACTGTTTTAAAGCATTTCCTTGTGGCCCAGGGTCCCTGAGGCCGTGTGTGTGCATGTGTGTGTGTGTGTGTGTGTGTGTGTCAGTGCTCAGACCTGATTGGATGAAGCGAACTTTGAGGATTACTTTTCATTTGATAGAAACTAAAGCTTTTACTTCTTTGCAGGGAAAAGTTTTTTTTTGTTAATTTTACCGGAGCACTCTCAGCGCCTGACGTCACTTTTACACCGAACTTTAAGATGTCATCATTTAAAGGTCTATTTCACGTAAAAAACTCACTTTAAATTAAAACAAAGGTCTTTTCTCACACTTTTGATAACTTAAATTTAACTTCCATGAAAAGTGATTTTATTTGAGTCCATCTGAACTCTGAGAGATGCTGCGATCTGAGCCAACTGGATGACGATTCATCTCTCTTCACATCCCAAACGATGATCATTCAGCTTAATGAAAGTCCTTGGTCACATCAGGCTGAAGAGAAGATGATGTTTTGGTTGGAGTAAAAACCAGCATTGTGGCTGAACTGGACCATTAAACCCTATCAAACTCTTTCGTCTAACTATCTGATACTTCAAGAGCCACATGTTTCCTCTGACCTTGAAAATCTGCCGTTTTCAGCTCCAAATATGTGGAACTATTTACAAGAGGCTCTTCAGAGGATCACTCTTGTTTCTCTTGGACGGTTCAGGTCAATTATCTCAGATGACTTCATCTAAGCATGCAACTGTTTTCACTGAGCGAGTCTTTTGGGTTAATTTGGGTGTATTTTAGTTGAACCTCAACATTAATGTGGGTGAGGGAAACCTCAGTGATTTTAGAGGCTGATGAAAGACCGCGTACGAACGTCAACATCACGTTTTAAAGAGTTGGTTAAGGGTCGACAGCTGGAGGAACATCTCCTGCTAAATGAGGTTAGGGTTAGAAGATCAGAGATGAGAATCGATAAGCGGTTCTTTTTAGAACAGGTTCCCACTGATTTGATTCCTGACCCTAAATTTCCACCACATGCGGAACCGTCCGCCAATTTCTCTCGGATATGTTTGTGAGGCGAATTCACATGCCATTGCGCGATAACGGGTTGTCTCTATAAAGACGGCCACATGACTATAAAAGCAGTAAATTGTGTTTTCAGAGGAGCAAATCCACCCTGTCCAGACCAGGAGATCAGACACTGTTGTGGAGATTGGGAATTAACCATGAGTAAGTAGATTTATTTATCTTTATCTTCAAAACAAACCACGTTTGCATGAGGTGAAATACGATCTGCCTGAAACACGTAGGGTTTTATTTTGAAAAGAAGCCGGATGTTATATTTTGTGTCTGTGCTTGACTTCCTTTCCAGCATGGACTAATCTGTGTGTCTGGAAAAAATAGAATCCTGGTGATCGGCTATGAAACCCGCTGTACTGCAGGGGGCCGGGAAGAAGCCGGTGGAGTTTGACACATTAGTTTAAATGGAAACGATAAGCTGCGACCAGCGCCAACCAGTGCCAACAGTCTTTTCGCCACCATTTTGCATGAGGTTGAAATTTGGGGTAAGAATTGTTTTTCTGCCTCCTTGAAGATTCTGCTTATCGGTTCGTCTTATGTCTCTATGCATGATGACGTAGTATGCAAGAAGCGTGTTTTGGTTAAGAACTTTCCAGCATGGCATCGAGGCAAAAACACTCCGGAGTTTATCATTATCGCATGATTGCATGTGAATTTGTGGGTTCTTGTGAGTCCTTGCGATTCCTGCATGTCCACGTAGGAATTGGTGGACAGCAAAAATCGCCCCATACCGCATGCAGAAGAAATTTAGGGTGAGTCAAAAACAAACCTTCCACTGCTCACCATCGGTGAACAAGACAGAGAGTACGTCAAGAACTTCACATACCTCAGAAGCAACATCTCAAACACTGGAGATGTGGAGAAAGACGTGCAGACCAGAACTGGCAAAGCTGCAGGAGTCTTCCAACGACTCTGGAATATATGGTTGTCGAAATCCATCACCACGGCCACAAAGCTACGCCTCTATATGTCAGTGGTCATCCCTACAGCGACCTACGCCTGTGAGACGTGGACGAAGACAGCCAGCATCACCAACAAGTTGGATGTCTTCCATCGACGGTGCCTCAGATCCATCCTGAAGATCTCATGGAGAGACCACATCACCAATGAAGAGGTGATGAGAAGGACAGGTGTAGCACCTTTGTCTGACATCGTCTCTGACAGGAGAAAGAGAATGACCGGACATGGACTCAGACTGCCAAGAGAGAGACCGGCAAGTGTGTCAATAGAGGGAGACCAAAGAAGACATGGAGACAAACAGCCAAGGAAGACCTGAGCGAGATGGGAGTCAGCTGGTATGGAGCAAGAAGGGTCGCTAAGAAGGGATCAGAGCAAATGGAGGGGGACTCGTCGCCCAATGATCCAAGAGGAACAGGAGGAACTAAGTCTGAGTAAGAAAGTCAAAAACAAACATTTGAGTCTGTCTGTTCCCTACAGGAGCTTTAATCTCGTCGGTTTGGAGAAGCTCCTCCTCCGAGTGTTTTCTTTGTTGTCCCGGTCCAAACTGCACTGAAATGTAAAACAGGTCAACACTTTTTATAAAACAATAATAAAAAAAAAAGTTCTGTTTCCAATGAAATATAACTTCCAGTGATTTACAAACCATCAGAATGGATTTTTTTGTATCAGTCGGGCCTTTTAGGATCGGGGTTGTAAATAAATGAAACACCTGCAGAGATTTCTCAGTTTATTCGCTGAAATGGAAAAAAGATTTCTTCTCAACCCCACCCCGGACTGTAAACTGAGGCCAAGTCTTTTAACCTCCGATCGCTCGCTCATGCTTCATATCTGGGGCCTTCACCCTCATCTGTCAAGCTACCCTCCTCATATTTGTCCCTGGACTTCCTCCAGACCCCTCCCTCCCTCTCTCCCTCTCTCTCTGCTTTGAACTCTGTGTGGCTGTTCGGCTCTGGCAGCGACGACTGGGTGGAGCTCTGCAGGTGGATCCGAGCTCAGCCAGCGCTAACCGGCTAACTGTCGAGCTAACAGGCTGCTGCACCTGCCAAACAGAGTCCTGCGGGTCAACTCGGCCCCACCCAGAGCACCGGGTCAGGAAGGCTGGACTCTGCCCTCCTGCCCGACCCCCCCGTCTCGACCCCCTGGTATCAGCCCTGAGCAAACAGCGAGAGGACGCTCCTCTGTTGAATGACTCTCAGGACTTTACCCGTTGACTTTAAGGGGGAGGAGGAGGAGGAGGAGGAGTGTGTCGTTAACAAGAGCCCCCTCCCTGTGTAAACTCAACATGTGAACTCTGGTCACCTCAGCTCAGCACGCATGTGGACTCGCACATACATGAACTATCAGGCGTTTCTCTTTACAGAGTCCTTTTTTTTCATCTTAAAGTAACACCTCTCACTTCATCCTCATCTATCTGGTTCTGTCGTTCGTCAAAGTTTAATATCATCATAAATCTCAAACAGGCTGTTCTCGTTTACTGTTTCTAATTATTCTTATAAAATCAGTCTGAGGGACCGTCGATTTAAGGATGGAAGGAACTGAGGCAGGGAAACGTCCAATTAAATCAACCGAGAGACAAGAGTCTGAGCTTCACTGTTAAACCAAAACTCTAAACTAAGATTTAGTTTTAATCCACATCTTCAAATACTTACAACCAGATTTTACTTTGCAGTTTTCATGACAGAAAGTCTCCAAACAAATGTGTTCAAGTACCCAAACAGAGTCTAAACTGAAGAGACATTCAGCTTCGAGGCCACCAAACTCGAAGGATTTGAGTTTCTGTCAGGTGGTTTGGCGTTCCCTCACTGTCCAAAGGGTCAGAGGTCATCTTGCGTGTTAAACGCAGAGAGAGTTTCTCTGCTCTGGAGAGCAGGAATGTGAATCTGCGGCGCTTTGAGCTGCACGCGTCTCAGAAATGAAACGCAGGAATTTTCCTCGGGGGTTTCTTATCAGTGTTTACTGTAAGCACCATCTAGTTTTCTCTGTTGACTTTTACAGATTGACTGGAGTCTGCTGTGTGTTTCCAAACGGGGAAAAAGCACTTAGAGATGATGGATATGAAGGTGACATCAGATCTGTGGAGTGATGTTGTATGACCTCAGATCCAAACGGAGAGAGTCGGTCCAGAGATGAAGATTATCAGTGTTTTTCAGGAGGAAATGGTCTTAAAGGTTTTAGTGACGTTTCTGTTAAAGAGCTGTTTTCTTTCTACAACGCCAGTTTCACTTTAACCTCCCCAGAGACCGACACAGATTTGATGGAGTGCCTTAAACCATATCCAGCGTGATACCTCGGGTACCTGAAAACTCACAAGAACCCGCATATTCATGTGTAATCGCATGATAACAAGTTGTCTCTTAGCGGGTCTCTCTAGAAGCAGTAGATCGTGTCCTTCCAGAGGAGGAAATCTACTTCTAGACTTCTAGAATCAGCATCTCCTCATCCATGGTGTCATCGGGGTGAAATGACGTCTACAAACCTTTCACTTGTTCGTCTCCGCCCATTTGCGATCCGCCTGAAACGCTGAGTGTTTTATTTTGAAAAGAAGCCGGATGTTTTATTTTGTGTCTGTGTCCGACTTCCTTTCCAGCACGGATTAATCTGTGCTGAATTTATTCAGCACGCTCCGGCGTCTGGAAAAAATAGAACTCTTGCGATCAGCTGAGGAGTCCGGTGATCTGCAGAAGAACGCAAAGAAGCCGGTGGAAATTAACACATGAACTTGAATGGTTATGATCAGCTACGATCGGCAGATACAACCTTTTTCGTAGCTGTTCCAGATGTGGTGGAATTAGGGGGTTAAAAAAGACACTCAAGGTACCTCAAAGTTTGACTCAAGGGTACCAAGAGACAGACCTCACCAAATAATAGCAAAACTATAAAAAAGTGTTTCCACACGTCCTCAAAACCAGATGGAAACTGTCCTGATTCACTCAATCGCTGACCTGAGCAGCTCCGGTAACCACGTCTCAGTCACCTGCAGCATCACAGCAGAATACACGCCGTAAACCCACTTCCAGCTGCAGTGTTTGACAGCTTTCTGCAGGTCTGGATCCCTCTCAGATCCACCCAGGATGTAAAAAGAAGCACGCTCAATGACTGCGCTCATGTTAGCATGTCATGCACGACACCGAATCAGATAGAAAATCTTGAAACAGCTGATTACGTAGACCTCCAACAAGCGTCAAAACGGTTCCTCAAAACAGATCCCATAAAAGCTTAGTAGATGGAGAACGGGAACCTGAAGACAGACCCACTAAAAGAAGGTAGACTTCAGACTAGACTCTAAAGAGGTTCCCTAAAACAGCCGTAAAGACCTGCTCGAACATTTCTGAAACCGGATCTCCTCTCTCCGGTCTCACCAGGACTCTCTTCTTGTACTAAAACTACTTTAACTACAGTGGCTTTTCCTGAGCCAGCTGCTACTATAACTGTCAGTACGAAACAGAAGCAACCCAATAACACAAAAATACAACACAGAGCCAGACAGACTGCCAACTGCTGATTACCGCTGCTGGAGAAAACCTCAAATCCAGAGCGTCTAAACGTCCAGGCTTGTTTGGGGTTAACCGCGGTGCACTTGTGAGGTTTGATAAGTGCCAAGAGTTCCTCCGACGTCTCCAGAGGAGTCAGACTGACATGTCCAACAGCATCATTCAGGGATCCTTCATTTCACACACTAACAGTTACTCAGGCTAATCTGACTGTTCGGCATCAAACCTGCAAAATCAAAGGGATGGATTACCAAGATACCGGATGGTAAATCTGGATTATATGATGTCTATATCAGTTCGGTTCATACCTTGTTACAAAGTGGACACTCTTACCTGGATTAAGATTTTGGATTTGATTAGTTTTGACACTAGTAAATTTTTTGTTTTCTTGATCGTAGCCTCTAATTCCAATTTTTTCTCATAAAATTACAACTTTAATCCCATAAGATTACAAATTTATTCTCATATTTACATTATTTTTCCAAATTTATGACTTAAATCTCATAAACGTGTGACTTAATCCTGTAAATTTAACAGACTTTTCTCTCAAGACTTCATACTTGTGTTATTATGTCTGTATTTCACCAGTATTCTGGGACTAAATCTAATTTTTCCATCGTTATGTGGCTCTAATCCCAGATTGTAAGAATATTTGACTCTGTTCAAGTTTAAGAAGCTGTATGAAGTTTTCATAATGTGATTTAAAAAGCGTTTACATATATTCAAGGGTTAAATCTAACTCTTCACACAGTGACACTTTCCTCTGATCGACCTTCAGAAAGTAAAAGTGTAAAATCAGAGTTAAAAACTACATCACGTCAGTTTTTCAACATTTTTAATCCTGTTTGTTTGAAATCTTGTTTGAAAGACTCTCTCAACACGTCTAACACCACAAGCAGAAGAAAAACAGGAGTACAGTTACGCGGTTTCCCTTTCCCGCCATCCAGGAGCGCGCTCACATTACATCTCATTATGTATGACGGCTGCCTGACATGGCCGCCGCCGCTGCTGCCGCCGCAGAGAGAAAAAGTAGATCTGGTCATTTAGGTCCTGAGGTGTTAAAGTTTGAGAGACAGTTTTCTGTCAGTTTGGAATTAGAATAATAATAAAAAAGTTCCTGTGAGACACAATTAAAGCCATTTACGCAGCAGAGGACTTTAAAAAGGTCTTACAGGGTCGCAGGACTACACGAAGATCCCCGGTGGAAAGTTACAACAACGTTTGAGCAGAAACCAACATTAATATTGGCGCAAAAATCACGTTTAGTAAAATATGAAAACAAAAACATTCAATTTTTTACACCACAGTACGATCATTTCTGAGGGTTTGTAAGCACTGGCTGAGTTGTCAACACCTCTGCGAAGGAAAACACACAAACATGGACCGACACAGGCAGAGTCCTGCAGCCAGATTCATGTGGACTTTGGACAAAGAGGAGAAACTGGTGGATTTGGGGACGTCTGCAGACTTTTGGAGTTGCCTGGTTTGCTCTAGGAGGAGGCAGAGAGGGACAGAAGTTGACAGAAGTTTCTACAGCTCTTAAACTCCGGGGTGAGTATGTTACAGATTCTTCAATCTGGCAAAACCACAGGAGATTTAAGAGCCGTTATTACCATCACGGCTTCTCCACTAAAAATCCACAGGTTTTAATTCAAGCTGTGATTTTTATTCTAGTTTCACTTTTTACAAACATTTGCCTCTGATAACCATGTCAGCTGCTTGTAGAGGAACCAGACACCTAAAGATGTAGTCAATAATATACCCACATTATTTTAAGGAGTTTTGAGAGACCTGTTGATTACATGAATAAAACATAAAATATACATAAAATGCACCTGGTTAAAAGCCTCTCGCAGTTTTCTTTATTTTCATGTGTTCATTCAATTGACCTCAACATTTTCTCTCCATATAATACAGAGAATTACAACTTAGTGTACTGTCATTTTTAGATGGCTTTAACTGTTTATGTTCACTTTTCTAAAGGAAAAAGAAATGTATCAAAGATCTCCGTTTATCAATAGATAGTTTTGCTTTTATTCCACATTTCCTTTGCCGACCTGGATTGTTTCGTAAAACCTAATCTGTAATGTCCGGACCAACCACAATCTTCTACGTCATCCGAACCAACTTCCAGCCAATCATATAGCGTGACGTCACCAATAGGCGCCGGGCCCCGAGCCGATCTGGTACCTACACCGTACCTTTTCATTGACTTTACATGTGATTGAGTCGTGCAGAAGAAGTTGAGTGACTCGGCTTTCCTGTGGGATTTTTAAAAAATAAACTTGTTTTTTTTCATAAAATATTGTCTGATCTAAATAAGAATGCCGCCTGGTTTTGTCCCCTCTAGATTTATTTATTCTTCACTTGCCTCTGAGTCTGATGGTGCAGAGATAACTGTCGGTCCGTCTTGCAGCTGAACCGCAGTGAAAACACGTGAACTCCTGAGTGTCTCAGCCTGAGCAGCTCGACATGAGAGGACAAAAACTGTCACGGGAAACTGGCCGATGAAACAGCAGATGACTGAATTTACGGAAACCGATCCGATTGATCAGATAGGAAAATTAATGGCATATTTCTACACCTCCACTCCACAGTCACATCGTATTAAAACTCTGAGTGGTTTCTCATTTTCTGACGACACGCAGCCCAACTTCCCATTTCTGAAGAAACTCACTAAAATTTTGAGAAAAGGTACTTAGTTCGTGACCGCGATGATGTGGTCAGATCTAACAGAGGTGTGTGTAAACAGTAAATAATTTAGTGCTCAGGTGTTCGTTCTTTACGAAGACAAAGAATTAGAAGAAGAAGAAGAAGAAGAAGAAGAGGAGGAAAGGTGAGCGTAGTCAGAAAACAGCGGCAGCAGCACAGACGTCTCGCTGTGGGAACCATGTTTGGTTTCACAGATGTAATGCTTATTCACTGTTCATCTACCACAGGGATCTCTCTGTCAGCCGCGTTGCATGCTGGGACACCTTCAGGACGATACACGGCTTAACAATAAGGTCAACTTCCTCAATTGACTGTGGAGAGATGTTGCCCTCTCATTTCCTGTTCAGCTGCGGAGAACAGAGGCCTGAGATGGAGCGCGATGAGGTCGTACCTGTCCGTGACGTCACCGTGATGAGCGCAGAATCAGAGCGCAGATAAAATCTTATAAAATCTGACTTCCTGTCAGATTCTAACACCTTCTCTGCTCTGTGGTTAAAAGACTTATCATCACAGAGCTCACAGCAGTTTTCTCTCTTATGTAACATATTCGATAAAACAGCTGATTTTCATCAACCCAATATTACTGCGACTCATCTTACCAATTCAGACCCAAACTTGATGTATTTTTTTTCCTTACAGGTTTAATAATTACAGTACAGGTCACCCAAGTACTGGTGCTCAAGACCATTGACGTGTTTATGTAGGCGCCTTTTGTACGTCCAATCTGCCGCCATATTTTGAGGATTAAAATGCTCCTTACTGCTGTTAAAGGATCATAGCTCACATGTCATCCTTAACGTTTGGTTTTGTTTGGTATTCCCATCTCTCCGTCCAAATCTCTTCATTTTAAACCAGTAATGTTCAATTGTGAATTTGCGCTTGTATTTTTAATTATAATTAATCCCACTAAGGAAGCCACAGTCCAGACCAACTCAACAAAGTGGAGAGCGGAAGAAAAAAGACAAAACGGGCAGTTTCTTCAACCCAAACTCGGGTTCACAGCGAGTTTGTAAAAGTCATGGAAATGAGCTGCTGAAGAACGCTGAAAAATTCCTTCAGGCATTTGTGTTTCTGAGGTTTGGTCTGGAGTTATATTCACGATCTTTATTCAGATTTCGATCAGCGTAATCGGACTCGTGCTCAGGACAAAAACGTTGGTCCTGTACTGTTAAACAGGCTGCAGAGGATCAGGGTTCGACAAGTTTCCCCTCCTGTATCCCCCCCTCAACAGCCTTATGCGATCCAGTTTTAACATATACAACTCAGACCAGGATTGATGCTTCTTCACTTGTTTCAGTTTGTATTTTTTTATCCTGTTCTGTATGTTTCTGTATTTCTGTGGTTTTGATTCTTCGTCGAGCACTTTAGGCTGCATATTTGTACGAAGGGTGCGATATATAACGCTCAATTTGGGAGATTAAATGTTCTGTGATAAATGATGGAAACGCTGTGCTTGGTTTATTTTGGAAATGCCGTATAGATCTGCCTTGAAATCCCCTCCTCTACTTATCATTAATTTATACATCTTGATTTTTCTCTCTATAAAAAAGTGGCGTCTCGGAGTCGACGAGATCTCCAGATTGTTTTCTGCGTCTATTAAACTATCAGGAAGTCATCAGAGCGGATCAGAAGTAAACTACTTTTATTTCAGGGCGGAAGAGAGAGGCAGTGAGAGGAGTGGAAACCTGGCAGCTTGATCCTGAACGCATCGTGAGGTGTTCAGAGTAAACGCAGAGATGCTATCAGCCTCCTCAGAGTGAGAGCAAACACAGCAGAGAGTCTCTGGTGGATCGGCGGCTCCAGCTGTTCTTCCCACACTTTCTTCTTCTTCTGTTCTTTTCTTCCTGTGTCGGAGCTGGAGGACTCGGCGTGTTTTCCTGCCAGAGGCCTCGCAGGAGCAGAAATGAGCCGTGCAGCGAGAGGGAACGAGAGCCAGGCGCTGGTCATAACGCTGTGAATTATTAACGCCGAATATCAGTCTGCAGAAACGCTCACAGCAGCAGCGGCAGCAGCAGCAGCAACACGGTTATCAGATTCAGGTCTCAAATACTCCACATTTATTCACCCGCTCAACTCCGGGTTTGTTCTGGAAAACCACCAAACACCATCTGAGCTGAGCCACTATAGGTTGTTTATTTAGTCTGACTGCGGCGCAGCCCGCGACTGTGGAAAAAATACTCACCAAACAAAAGTAAAACAATGTGCAGAGTGAGAAAAATACCGATTAAAAGATCACCATGGAAGTGTTGTTCCTCCAGTCCGAGTTATTTCCATGGAAAGACGCCTGGAGTCCATTTTTATCGCAAACCCAGAGGACGACGATATTTTCTGGAGCTCTCACCGACAACACGAGGTCGTCTTTAGAAAGTAAGAGCTTACTCGGTCAGTTTAGGACACTTTCTTTTAGCATATCTGACTCATTTTCTGCAGGACTGTTGGATTTACCTGAATTACACCGAGGTTAAAGTTAAAACGAGTTTTAAAAGCAGTGGGAACATGATAACGGCAGGAAGAGTCTGTTCCAGAGTTCATGCATGAAAGTGTCAAAACTGTCCTCCAGGTTGATGAATGAATTCTCGGCTCAAGTGTGCAGACAAACCGACCGGCTGCTGCAGGATAAAAACACAACCGAGTGGATGAAATGAAGGAAATGTTAAAGAGAGGAAGGAAGGTCCTGAGGTCATATTGGCTGAGGTTTCTACACATATGTAAACACAAACATATTGGCAGAAGTCAACGAATGGATTAACAAATAAAAATCAGCCAGTGAGAGAGTCTACGAACATACAAAGATGGAAGGAACAGTGACTTACACGATGAGTGAAAACACGCAGAGCACAGTGGGATACACCATCCGACTTCTTTAAAAACTGAGGAGAGGAGTTCATAAAAAGTAGGTCTCCAAAATCCAACAGGTGTATAAAAAATAAGTTGTGGTGATCAAAAATTTCTGACATGATTTATTTCTAAAAAAGAAACCTGATTTCAGTTTGATCACGGAGTCGCCTCAGTCAGGATGTCTAATGGGGCGTTCGCACCAAGCCAGAGTAAAAACATCTACTCGCTTAATTCGCACATATGTTGACTTGTGAATCGAGTGTATTTACTCGCTTCATATGCGCGAATGATTCATTCTATTAGCGAGAATCATTTAATCCATTTACAGGACTCCCACGTCAACAGACTACTTCAAAGCTGTGGACAGCCGTTTATACTCATTTCAACAGTGATCGTTTCCAACTAACCAGCGGGATCAAGTGATAGACAACGATTTTCACATTTACCAGATAATCCGGCCCTCTTGCATTCACCGTCCAGATGCTAGCCGTGGATACGGAAGAGTGTCCATCCAGCATGGTAGGAGTGAACCACGTTCAGCAGATTACTGCTTGGCCCACAACTGTCACTGCCATGTCTGCGTCTCCTCCAATAGCTGCGCTGGGATGACGGCCCTTTCCAGTGGTATTTTTGAGTTGCCCAGACTCAATTTGATGACCTGTTGGTGAAGGTCAGTGCCAGGATATCCCTCCAGGATACCAACTAAAGGCGCTCGATCTCAGCTGCACCTGTCCACCTGTCGACTGTGAGTTATAGGATTTGTGTTTATATTTTCACAACAGTCAATATCTTCCAGTCTGTTTCCATGGGAATCTTCATGCTGATTGGTTATCACAACGCGAATATCTGCTCAAGTTGAGATATTTTCAACTTCAGTGAATTTGCCAAATTCGCACAAACAACTCGCTTAATTCGCATCATTCAAGCAGCCAGAGTAAAACGAGTGTCTAATCACATCTTTGCATTGACTTTACATGTAATTCATTTGCGCAAATAATTTTACTTGCGCTTGCTGTGAACGCCCCTTAAGTGTTTATAAGATGTGACCTTTTCAGTTTCAGTTGACGACCTGTGAAGGTGAGACGGTCTTTGATTTCAGCGCCAACCTAAACTGAGTCAAACAGGACTGCAGGAGCTGAAGAAGATGCAGACCTGACTGTTTCACCTGTGTCATCTCACACCTGTGTTCGGTCGCCCTGTCTCTCTTTATCAGTCACCTTCTTCTCCTCTGTATGCATGTTTATAAATGAGACCCCTGCTGTGCCGTGGCTTCATCAGCGCTGTTTTCCTCCCAGCAGCAGCAGCAGTGACAGATGGGATTCCTGGGTCTCTGTGTAGCTCCTCCATACATGCCTGTGTTTGTCTCTGTCTGCCATAAACCTGGAATGTGTGTTTTATTGGGAGAAGCTGCAGATGTTGAGCTCTGGATGTTTACATGCACACGGCGTGACAGAAGAAGAGTCCGTATCTGCTGCTTCTCAGCGTCATATCAATAACACTTTGGTCTGGGTGGTGAAAGGTTCAGATTGTCGAGCTGCAGTAAACAGGAAACAGTTGGATTATCTCAGTTTGGTGGGCAGATTGAACAGGCTGAGTGGAAGCTGTATCGCTCTTATCAAGATGGTTTCATTGTTTGGTGAATCAGTTTTTGGCAGCAGACCCCGATCATGAGCTAAATATTGTGTTTAATCTGTTCTCTGTTGATGTAAATACACTGTAATGTTTCAGGACGTCCTGATGATTCAGCTCCTTTAGTGGATCTAAACAAATGGAGTGAGATCACATCAGGGTGTCATTCAAATCATGAGGGTTCATCCTCTGGAGAGCAGGAAGACATGTGACTGAGACTGAAGGGGACTATTAAGACAGTCCTTCGCCAAATCATTGTAACCTTCGATGATTTAGTGTTGATCAAAACTGAGAAACATCCCGAAATGTGTGCTTTCTAGAAGACCCTGGACATTTAGATAGGGTGACCATACACCCTCTTTTACCCAGATATGTCCTCTTTTTGGGTGGCTGTCTGGCCTTGTCCGGGGTAGTCTATAAAATCCTTCAAATGTCCGGGTTTTTGTATGGAAGTTTTGAGTTTGTGTCGTGTGGACTTGATGAGTTAGAAGTGGGTAAAAAATCACTTGACCCAGCCCAGAAAACTCTCAAAATTAACAACGCATGACTTCGTAACTCTGCCCTAGTCAGTTGTGTCCTCTTTTTGGGGGATTCAGAATAGGGTCACCCTACATTTGAAGGATTTTATAAACTCCCCCCAGACAGGTCAGAAAGCCCCCAAAAGAGGACATGTCCGGATGAAAGAGGACGTATGGTCACCCTAACCTGTACTCTCTGGTGGACGTCTGCCTTTAATCCGTGCAGCTGTATTTGTGCTTTTTGTCACTTGTGTATCTGCAGCGTTTTTGTTGTTCACACCGTCATCCTGCCTTTTTGCAGCATTTTTTTTTTTACATTCGCGGCATGTTTGTGTTTGTTTTGGACAGTTGCGTTTGGAGTTGTCATTACTTCGTTTGTGGTGCATTTCTCCAAATTTTGCCGCAGATCATTCGCCCTCATAGACAAGACAATCAAGTCACCAAACTAATCAGCAAGGGTACGAAACATCATCGCATCATCGGAGATCCCTTTTTGTTTCATCGCTGTCCTGCTGTCATGCAATGTCTGATCCAGGATCTGATGAATGGTTCTGGATCAGAACTGAGGACAGACTCCTTACATCAGGAGCAGAAGTTTTTCCAATAACTCATTCTTCAGCGAGGTGTATACGAACTTTCAGCTTCCCAACACCCAACTAGAAAAGCCAACTTTGCTTTCTTCATCCTTTCTAATCATGGAGCTGTGGTCTACGTGAGCTCTGGTTATCTCAGAATCCAGACTAACACAGTGCTGGACTTTTATTTCTCTCAAAGTCAAAAAATCTTTAAAACAACAAATTCCTTGAAAACCTCCATGTTTTACACAACTAAAGTGTTATTAATCGAAGCACACTTACACTTCCCTCCTGGCTATCTCACCCTGCTATACAACTACAAAAACAAACATGATACAAGTATTTATTATGTATACAGAGGTATGAATAACCAGGTTTTTAACCACAATATCCTAAATATGATCATAGCAGATCCTCAAGTCCATGTAAACACACTCAAGACTGTTAAATCGAAGAGCTTCTGTGACTCAGTCCTGAAGTGTGCCTGTCATCTTAAAACCACCAGGTTATCTCTGACAGCGCCTGCTTATTTTGGACTTCACCGAGAGGTTGGCAGCGAGAAGAGGACTCTCCATCCAGAGCCCTGAAACTGTCAGAGCGTCACCTCTGACTATCTGACAAAGAAATCAAAGTTCGCTGTAATTAAACTGCATAAATCTTGACAGTGAGGCAAAAGAAACAAACAGCTCGCTTATCACTCGTCTCCACATCTCAGCTGTCAAGAGCGAGAGCGAGATGTGTGGCGATCAAAGTGGCAGCGATGAGACGCAACACGAAGAGAAATCTGCTGAGTCTCAAAACCAGGCAGGAACATGTCGGGGCGGCCGCGGAGCCGCGGAAAACGCAGAGCGAGTCTTTGGCATCACAATAAACGTCAGCGGAGCGTGGACTGTAGCTGAGGGCACTTTTACTATCAATCTCCCTCTGACTGACTCATAAAACAGTCGCTGCAGAATGTGCCTCCAAAGACACCAAAACAAATAGTTCCCTCCGAGCCTCACTAATGTTCCCCATAGTTTCATACAGAGCCAATAAATGCCAACCGACTCAAAGGCAGAGGCTGAATAAACAGAGAGATATATTTCCCTGCTGTGGCTCGCCACTCCTCTCTTTGTTCCTCTCTGGCAGCGAGGCCTCGCCGCATAAATTGCAAATAATTGTGGTATCAGAAAGGATTAAGTTCTGCTCCTCCACACTGAGAAGAAAAAGAAAACACTGTCTCTGAAGCTGAGATTGTGTGATTTGTTTCCTCCTGTCTCTTTTGTTTTGATTCTTAAATCGTCTTTTGTTCGGTGAAGACTCTTACTGGAGAACCTGTTTGTTAAAGGACAATGCCGTGTTTTTATAAGACACTTCCAGGTCACTTTCATGTCGTGTTTATGTTTCC